AAACTGTCTTTAGTTTAAAAAGCTAAAAAAATAAATAAAATGTAGACATGCATTTGAAAATTTATCAGCACAAAGCCAGTGGTTACAGGTTAACTCAAGTTTTCTTGAGTTTAACTATTCCACAGTGCAAAGTCCCCCAAATCCACACATTTCTAGACTGTTTTCGGTGCTCGTTATTGACGAGGATCTTCTCCGGGGCTTTTGGGCTAGTTTGCAGTCAGTTGGATATGGCAGCACTCAACAGCTCCTGGCCAAACCTGACAGTTCTATTACCATCTATTTCCTCAGTAGGCGGATATACAACACTGAGCCAGTGATTATGACTTCTATAACAGGCCCCTCAATATCCTTGCAGCAAAACACATATACGCACATGCTCAAAGGCTGATTTATGAGCTTGAGAGCCTGGAGGTGGGAGGCAGTGTGTCGTTACCCCAGACATGTTGACCAGAGCATGAGCTATTGAAAAGACAGGGAGGCGGGCAGCACTGTAATTAAGTCACTAAATACATTAGGCTGAAAGATCCCACAGTACATCAACAGGGGATGCATTGAGAAATGATTTCGGGCACTTATTCTTCTAGAATCTTTGTTACGGATGATTGTACAAACGACGGAAGTGATTTAAAGAAGAATTCTGACTCACGAGGTCCTGGCAACATTTGAAAGCTTCTTTGGGTCGTTTCCCAGTTTTGAATGCGGATGCTTTGAGGATGCTTCTCTATCACAACAGATTTAGAGCTTTGTTGAAATCATCATTTATGATTTAAAAAGGATTCATATCACCAGTTCTCTTAATGCACATTTGTGTGCACAAACAATGAAACAGGCTCTCGTGAAGTGCACGCACGTTGAGTCTCTTACTGACTGACACAACTCCACAGATCTAACATAGCAAAACTCTCAAGGGCATCTTTAGACGTGTAATCAGAGTCACGTCAAAGGAATGACAAGTGAAATGGAAAAAACAAACAAGCAAAGAGCACAATGCTCACTCAGTCCTTGTCCTTGCTGCGTATTGTATTTCTGAGAGGTGTGTGTTGCAAAAAAAAAAACAAATTTAAGTCAAACTTTGCCCCAACACAAAGTAGCATCTGCAGTAAGGCGGGGCAGCTGTCAGTCACCTAAGTCCTGGCACATAGTCGTGCTCCTACCGCCCATATTTGTTCTTTTTAATTTGCAACTTTTGTGGCCAAAAGAAAAATCGCTGACAACTTTACGGTTAGAACAATCAACCAAGAAGTGTTTTTTATGTTTGATCAGCCTTTAGGTTCATAGATGTATCAATTAAAAACAGTGTACTGAATGTTGTCTTTATACTGGGTTGGTCTGCTTTGTAAGAGATGTGTATGACAGCATGTAATCATTAATACTTTCACATGGAAACATTACAGAGTTTCAAAAACACAATTAATTTACTCATTTCTAAGCAAAGCATGTCTTTGGAAAATTGCTAACCCCTTTTTTACTCATCGGTGTTTCCAGTCAACGTGTTTTTATGTTGCTGGTGATTCTTCCTCTTTCTGTTACTGTTATTAAAATCCAGATACAAGTATAACTTTGAGAATTACACTGTAAAAACAATTACGTACTGAAGCATTTGTTTCCTTTTGTTTTCTATGAGAAGTAATTTGTGACACAAATGCAATAGCTTCTTATGCACTGTTAATATGAATCATAGCAGCAGCTACAGCTGTCTCCCGTGTGCACCTTAGAGAGGGAGGTGTCCTCCATCGCTGCAGAGGATGACTGGTTCTCTTCGACTGTTATGGAAGACAATGGGGAGCATTGTGCATGTCATAGAAAGCATCCGCCTTTATTGACTTAGGTAAGCCTCGCTGTTGCTGCTAGCACTCAGCGTTCAGAGATAACTTCCTCTGTCAAAACACAAACGCTATGCCCACTCCACGTCTCACATCAGCTCGCGCTAATTACCTGAGCATACCCTAAGCTGACAGGTGAAGGTGTGCGATGGATGTCTTAGTGGGTGGGGGGGAAATGGGCTGGTTGAGGTTGACACCACTCCGGTGACCTACAGCTGAACTTGGACCTGTGAGAAAATAACAGGTTTTCCAATTAGGCCCAAAGTGTCTCACCTCAGGCATTTTTTTTCTGGAAGTCTTTCTAACCTCGCCACACAACAATTAGGACCGAGGAGCTCCCCAGCCTGTGGAGACCTGCATCCCTGCCTGCCTGCCCGCCGGGGCCTCTGCTTTCACAAAGATATTCAACAGGAAAATGTTTCATACTCATACACTGCAATTAACGCAGTACCTGTTCCAAAAGTTTTTGTTGTTTTAGTCGTAATTTAACCAGGTGGAGAAGCTGAGTCACAGCCCATTCCACATAGGCCTAGAAACTGGTATGACAAATTCTGAATGGATCAGCACTGAGTTCATTCTGAACAAGTAACCATTGTGTGCACCAGCAGTTGTTTTCAGTTAATTAATTCTGACAGACTTAACGCAAGACTGGTTACCTCAACCATGCAGCTTGACTTGTTCAGTTAAAAATAAGCAATGATGGCGATTAAAGGCTAATAACAAATAAGACTAAAAAACAAAAATACAAAATAGAAATGGATTTTTTTAGGGAAATCTATGCCCACTGTTTTCTTCTATTATTTTAGACATTCGGGAAGCTTTTTGTTTCAGTAACAGAGCTCATTAATAGTGGTAGAAATACTGATTAGCATGTTAACACATCCAAACTACTTTTAGCAGTACTGATCTCTAATAAAGTTTGTAGTACTCGTAGAAAGACTATTATACCTGACAGATGTTTTAATTGATCCTAATTCTCTTACAGGTTGTTTAATCAGATTGCCTTGTTATTCTGCTCATTAGGCCAAAAAGTGAATAAATATATAATCAATAATAATTTCTGAAAAGCCAAAAAATAATGTGTAAGTATGAGTCATTTCCAAGGAAATGAAAGAAAACATTTACAGGAATGAAAAGAACTTGTGCTGTGTGTTTTGTGCTTAACTGATAAACAGCAGGAAAAACATGAATGATGAACCAAACAGAAACAGGAAGTTTCTATAACCATTGCTTTTTTTTTTTAATCTTGTCTCTGATTTATGCAAATACTGCAAAAGTTACAAAGAAATTCAACAATACTTCCTTCTTCCATACTTGCCTTCTATAGATTAATAAGTACTATATGAAGCATGCTTAAGAGTGTTTACACAAGGCGTAAAAACCCAGTGTACATTACTCAATGTTAACCTGTGCTGTTTGCTTAAGAAATCATCCATGTCCGGTATCAGTCACTAAAAATACACTTAAGACTGTTCCTCACTCGCTCAGCGACAGAGAGGAGCCCTTAGGTGCACTACGGGCCATCGTGTTCTCTGTACAGATAAAAGATGATAAATGTCACAACACAGCGTTTAAATGCTTTGTTCGCTTGACTGTGATTTATGATGAACTTTGACTGCTTTTAATATATCTTCAAAAGCTCCAACAGTAATGGATCTGCCTGAACTTTAGTCTGACAAAGCTACTGTAACTGCTTGATTTAGACGTGCTTAACATGACGTGACGGTACGTTTAGAAACCGGATCCTCTGGGCGATTTTCATTTGTTTGATTTAACTTTATAAGAGATGCACCAAAACAAACAGCAGAACTCATTTGTGGTTGCAAATATGTAAATAGAATAAAAACTTTAAAAGTGCATTACATTGTGCTGTTTTGGACTTTGGAATTGAAGGTTTAATCAAAAGATAAAAATTTTATTTTAAACCCCTTATAGCCCCACACGTGGGAAATTTTTGTAGCCCTCTGCATTTGATCCATTCACTCAGTGATGCAGTGGGCAGCTGCCAAACCAGCACCCGGGGAGCAGTGTGTGGAGATGGCACCTTGCTCAAGGGCACCTCAGGGTAGCTGTTCGGTGGATTCAAACCCTTCCCCTTCCTGTCATGGGGCAACCTCTCTACCTACTGAGCTCTCACCACCCATAATTATAAAAATGTCAAAAAACCTGTACCTCAGTAAGACCACACAAAGCTTGAACGATAGCTATTTTATTAAGTGCATTTACGTACATAAACACACACTTGTATATAGTAAAAATAATTTTACACAAACCTAAAAAAAAAACAAAAACAAACAACAAACAAGTTTACCAAACAAGCATTATATACATCGGAAAAATACTGCACGTTTCATCTTAAACAATGACAAATAAACGTAAATCTGCAAAACTCAACAGTCGAAACTCTTAAACATTTGAGATCTGTAACAGGACAGAGCAGAGTAGCAAAGTTTGATGTACATGGAGAAGTCACTAACAGGCAGTTTAAAACTGTTATTTTAATTCAGGTCTAACGTACCAATTGGGGTAATCATGCAGAGCCTGCAGGCTGAAAACATATTGGAGATTTTATATGTTTGACGTGTGAGTCTAAACTGCTTTAGAGTTGTGGTGTCCTTGTGGTTGAAAATCATATGTACTTT